CCACATGTGAAGCCCCCGGGCTGGACTCCACTTCGTCCATGGTGAAAGCCGATCTGGCGATCTACAGCGCGAAGTTGATGTATTCCCTCAGCGACCAGCACGGATCAGCTCTCATGACGAAGCGGATATCGTCCTCTTTTGGAAGGCCAACCAAAGTAGTTTCACTTTCACAATGAAACACAGTGCCGTCACGACATGGTGGCAGCGGCAACAACAATACTACAGCGAGAATAAAAGTTACGCCTTCTTTCTTTGCGTGAACATTTGGGCGGCGTTATGCAAATCTTCCCACATCGTGATGTAGACATGTGGGGGCGTGTTAGAACGAGCCGTTTTAGGTAGGCGTGGTTGACTCTTAACTTTTATAAAGAATATCTCTTTGGATTTGAGACTTTAGTCTTTGCAACTTTACAGATCTTCTTTGTGCACCAAGAGCTTGTAACACTCCAAAGAGAAAGGAAAAATTGAAATCGCATCATATGACCCCTTTAAACTACGGTTAGTGTAGCAAAACCATGGTTAATTTGTGGTTACAATGGTTTAACAATAGTAACCATGGTTTTTTGGTTTTATTTGTGTTAAAAGCATGGTTAATTTTCGTAAGGGAATTTAGTTCACAAACAACTTACAGTCATGCATACCCTAAATAATATACGTTACATTTACAATAAACATTACTAATATCCAGCATTAGTCACTTGATTTTCGCGCCATCAGGCAAATCCTTCGTTCGGTTGTTTATTGCAAACGGATCACGTTAATTCGCTAAAGAATCGAAAAGTCCACTGCGATTTGTGAACCGTTTCAACAGGTTCATCAGAATCGGTTCAAAATAATTATTTATTCATTCGTTCACATGAATCCCCACATGAAAAAATACTATAGTAATTTATAGTAAATACTGTAGTGTTTTTGAAACGTACTATAGGCTAGTAAAGTGTATTATACTGTATATTATAGTATTTACAACACTTTTTAATGAATGCTACAGCATACTGTAGTATTAACTATCGTGAACAGATAAACTGTAATAAATACTGTAGTATACTTTTACTACAGTAAACTGTAGTGTATTTTAGTATAATATACCCTAAAGTTGTAGAAAACGTAGTACAGTATTGGGAAAAGTAATTTGTTTATATTACTATAGTTGTTATATTACCACAGCAACTATAGAATTACCACAACAAATTAATTCAAGTATTTTAGTATAGTATGGTTCAAAAACACTATAGTATTTACTATAAATTATTATAGTATTATTTCATTTGGGGGACGTCTCGGATTCGGAGCGATTTCTTCATTTCGAAATAACGATGAACGATTTAGGCTAATTTATTAAATGTAGTGGAGTAAAAGTAAAATATTATTCTTTAAAAGTTATTTTAAAATATTTGCTAAAAGTTTACATCAAAAATTCTCTCTACTGTCCACTGACTCACTCCCATTTATTTGGCTATGCTTGTGTGAAATATTAGAGAGCATGACATAGAAAACAATCAGTGCTAATTCCAACCAGAGTAGAAGTCAAAGTACTTATAATTGACTTCATTATTCAACAGATCATGCTACCAGTCAGTCTTCAGCTCCCATTCAGAAATCCACACCTGCATCTACAATGAAAACTATTCCACCCGCACCTACAAATGGATTTCAAACAGGATCCAGTCTTGAGAAGGTCTTTGATTTTAGATCTGCATCTGAGCTGTCTGAAGCATTGAATACGGCCACAAAGACAACACTGGAGGCAACTGGTGAGTTGCAGTTAAAAATATTTTGAATTTTAGTTAATATAATTAATATAAATGATATATTATGTAAATAAATGTACTTAATAATGCTAATAATATATAATCCAAAATAATATATTAATATCAAAATTTCCAAAACACCAGCCTCTGACATGGAGGTGATGATGGAGGAAGACTACATTGAAAGCCAGGCTCATGTATCAATAATAAAGCGCCAGGCTCCAAACACAAATGACTGTGTGATTTACCGCTATGGATCCTTCTCAACTGAAATTGAGATTATTGGTGAGATTCCTCCCTTGAACAGCAGTGTATTTTTATATTTTGTAATATAGACCTTCGTTGAAGAGTAATCTACATTTGTATCCTCAGAGGGCATTGAGAGTGTGCAGATCGTCCAGGTGACTGACTGTAGCTGATGATTTTCTGCTAACACAGATGGAGCAGAATGCTGTTGATTTCACTGTTTCCTGCCAAGAAAGGCAGAAACATGTAGCTGGAATCACAAAATACAGCCTGACGGAGAATTCACAACCTTAATCTCCTCTTTCCAGCCTCCCCACTGAAGTGTGCACTGTAGTATCGGATGCAGACTGCCATATGCCAGTTACCACCATCTGCATTGCTGTGAGCCCCTCCTCAGACTGTCAACTCATCCTTCGACACTTCTTCAATGACTCTGGGATCTTCTGTATCAATGTGTCCATGATGAATGATGTCAGTCTGGCTGCCACAAATGCCAGGGTTAATATTAACATAGGTGAGTTCATTTATTTACTATTGAAACATATAGCATGGTGCTCCAAAATGAGAGCAGTGCTGTTAATTCATCTTACATGTTTCTATTTCTGTGCAAAATTTAGCAGGTTCCAGGTTGACATCTGCAGGTGCCGCTGCCCTATTGTTGGGCATCCTGACCGTCGTATCAGCAATGGGTGCTGTGGTTTTTGCATATAAGTAAGTCATTCCAACACAGCGTAATATCCATGCAGTGATTTTGGCTGGCATGAATTATTCATGAATTATTATGAATTTTTCAACCTGCTCCTCTAGATTTCCTAAAGCTTAATCAGTAAGCAAATTAGAGTGAACATTAACTGGTAAAACTGCACTGACTGGCCTTGTTTTTCCACCTTTCTAGACGTCTTAAAGGGTATCAAAGGCTGACTGAGGATCTCGCTACGTGCCAATCCAAAGACACTAGCGTGAGCTCAATGCCAGTGCCCTTCTGGAGCCTGATGAATCAGCAGAGAGTGGATCAGAAAAAAGGAGTGGTGTGAATTTTGTTGAAAATTCTAATTTAAAGTAATGTTACATAAGCACTATTTTGAATAGCGTAAAAGCATTTAAAACTTTTTTTACCATTTTAATTTTTTTTTAATTAGATTTTGTATTCTTTTACACACATATTTGACCCCAAATCCTTTTTCTACAAAGGCATGTTTTTCATTACATTAAATTTAATGCTTTGAATTCGAATTTAAAGAGAAAATTTATGCCAACAAGCATTTTTAAAGCAATTGAATAAAATATCACAAAAGCTGCTATTACTTTCTGGCCTTTTTATTATCTGGCATTGGTGTCAGATCTTCTGGATTATAAAAAAAAATCTATCTAATTAAGGCTTTTTACTACAAGACCTTTTGATACCATGACCTGCTTTCCTTAATTTGTGCAAACATACCACAGCTGTAACTCACTTGCACCTCCCTAAAACCCTAGAATGGACTTAATACCGACTGCTGAGTGACTACTAATCTACTTTTCCTTCAGCCGAAGTGGTTGGAAGCCAAACCTGTCAAAGGCCATAAGTTGAGCCGTGGAAACTAGTTAGTAAGCAGATTACTTCTCTTGAATGCCTGGAATGTCTTAAAACAGACAGCTTATGTTAACATCCGCAAGAACAATTTTTAAAGAAATGTGCACAGACAGATTTTTTTAACTTTACCACCAATTTATTCAGTCAAAATTTGGCAAGCAAATTCCACAAATCATATTCATACTGGCCATTACAATATAACAACTAATCAAGAATGTGTCTCTAATATTTAGGAGTAGACTTTACACTTGATACCTCAAGTATATCGTGTGTAAATTACCGGTCTACTGTTTTCAATTTTAGACATTTAGTGAACATTTTAATACTCTTCGCCCTCCTCTTCTCCCTCCCCCTCAACAGAATCAAGCCAGATCACCACCTGGAACCACAGTGGGAGGCTGGTAGTTGATGCCAACCTTGAAACCAGTGGGACACCAGTCCACAAACTGGATGGTGCGCTTGGTCTTGATGGTGGCAATTGCGGCGTTCACATCTTTGGGCACCACGTCACCACGGTACAACAGGCAGCAAGCCATGTACTTGCCGTGACGCGGGTCGCATTTCACCATCTGATTAGCTGGCTCGAAGCAAGCATTAGTGATTTCAGACACAGAGAGCTGCTCATGGTAAGCCTTCTCTGCGGAGATCACTGGGGCATAGGTAGCCAATGGGAAGTGGATACGAGGATAGGGCACCAAGTTGGTCTGGAACTCGGTAAGATCGACATTGAGGGCACCATCAAACCTGAGGGAAGCTGTGATGGAGGACACAATCTGACTGATCAGCCTGTTGAGGTTGGTGTAAGTAGGACGCTCAATGTCAAGGTTCCTACGGCAAATATCGTAAATGGCCTCATTGTCTACCATGAAGGCGCAGTCAGAGTGCTCTAGGGTGGTGTGGGTGGTCAGGATGGCGTTGTAAGGCTCTACAACAGCGGTGGAGACCTGAGGAGCAGGGTAGATGGAGAACTCCAGCTTAGACTTCTTGCCATAGTCGACAGACAGACGCTCCATCAGCAGAGAGGTGAAACCAGAACCGGTTCCACCACCAAAGCTGTGGAACACCAGGAAACCCTGGAGGCCTGTGCACTGGTCAGCCTGAAAAGAAACAGTATGGTAATTAACTCAATACAGTATATCATTAATTTTGTTTGTTTGTTCATTTGCAACTACCTACCAGTTTGCGAATCCTGTCCAGCACCAGGTCAATGATTTCTTTTCCAATAGTGTAGTGACCACGGGCGTAGTTATTGGCAGCATCTTCCTTTCCTGTGATGAGCTGCTCAGGGTGGAACAGCTGACGGTATGTCCCAGTGCGCACCTCATCTGGACAGACAGGTCAAGAAGAAATGTTTAACAAACGGAGCACTTTGACACACACAATTATCATAACTTAAATCAAGTCCCATTCTCTTACCAATGACAGTGGGCTCCAGGTCTACAAACACAGCCCTGGGGACGTGCTTTCCAGCTCCAGTCTCACTGAAGAAGGTGTTGAAGGAATCATCACCTCCTCCAATGGTCTTGTCGCTGGGCATCTGCCCATCCGGCTGGATGCCATGCTCAAGACAATACAGTTCCCAGCAGGCATTGCCAATCTGGACTCCAGCTTGACCAACGTGGATAGAGATGCACTCACGCTGTGGAAAGGAATGGTAAATAATTCAATTAAAATGCCACAAATCTTTTTATTAGGTTGTTGGCTCTCAAGACATATAAAAGGCTTCTTTTGCACCATCATTCTGTTGACATTTGCATTTTATGACATTTTACATTTGGTTAATATTTTGGGTACAACAATACACTTGACTGACATTGCATCATGTACCAAAAAACGTCTAAAAGTCTTTCTTTGAGATCATAAATGCACTGTAAACACCTGCTAAAGAACAGACATGCAAGACGTGAACTGGCATAATAAAGACTTAGTAGGTTACCAAAAAAGAAGAACAAAGAAAGCATTTAGTTCTCTTTATTCAAAGGGAATGAGGCAGCAGAATGGGAACAAGGCAGATATGCCCCACCCACATAGAACAGGCTTGCCAGACCGTGCCTGACTAGGCGTTGAAAGAGAACAATAAAAATGTCGACAGAAATCCACCTTTTCCCATTTATGTCATCTCAACGGTCTACATAAGAGTATGGATTTCAATAAAGGAACAGCATTTATTTTAAGAAGGTTTTTAGAAGCAGAAACTGAATTTTCTCAAGGGCTGTAACCACTATTTGAAGGGAATCCAGAACATTGCTTGATGAATATGGGATTTTAAATTTTTTTATATTTGGTCACCACTAATCTTAAATATTTAGTTGCATTGTTGAATTTCCCTAAAGACAGCATGATAAAAAAGAAATTGAATAAAAGCAAATTCAGCAACATAATGAAATGCATTAAAGCATTTAATGTAACATTTCAGTGGAAGCAATAACAGCTGTGGAACAGAACAGGAACAGAAATACAGTCCTCTGCTGCACAGGCCAGACATGAGCTTCTGCAGACAGCTGCAGTCCCCACCCAGTTTACTCCTCATGCAGATGGGAGGAGGGGTGGATGCAAATTTTAAGAAAATTCTGTCAATCTCTGACGACAAAGAGCTTGCGACAAAAAATAAATTAATAAATAATAATAATAAAATAAAATCATTCAATTTGTGCATTTTTGTTAAGATATTAAGTTCCATTTATTAACAATAATACATTGTGATTTTAATTGTGCTGCAATTGAATATATAATAATTTAGATAGAGATAATGCATACTATTTTGGCTATAATTTCAATGCACATCAAAAAAAATGTCATAATGTAAGGTGGTTTTGGAGATGCACCCTCAAAACAGGTGTACTACTAAATGCAATTTATGTTAAATGTTTCACTATTTAATAATGTGCATCGTAAAATGATCATGTTATTTATAAAAGCATTTGACAAACAACGCGTAACTGCTAACATATTCTGAGGGCACCGTTATCATAATGAATGAATGGATTGATGGATGGATGGATGAATGAATGTAATCCTGTAGGCGTTTGCAAAGGCATTTATAAACTAAATGTATGTGCGACGAATAATATTTTAAAAATGGCCTTCTTTGCATTACCTCACTAAAGATTATTTGTAACAAAATAAAAATAAATAAATATTTCGCGGCGTTACGTAGTAGCAATGTTGCGAGCTTTGCCTCCATTTTAAGCAAAGGGCGCGCGCTGAATGGCAAAGAAAAGCCGCTCGAGCTGCTTTAAAAAAAACAAAACAACAGACGAGGATTAAACGTCATGCACATTTATGACCGAAACCCTTTGGCGCGTCGTTATTTGAAAGGAAAAAAAATAATTCTACTCACCATTGTTCTGGAGGGGATGGAGCGATGAGGTGAATATTATCAGGCAGGGAATTTCTTTATTGTTGGGAGGATACTGTGAGTACACTGTCCAAGATTGAGGCAGTGAGTGGAGGATGAAGGGGAGGAGCTAGAGTGAACGTGATGTCGAAACGAGGAAGGTAGATTAACGCAGCACGGTAATGACCGATATAAATCAGTGCAATGCACATCTGATAATTCTTAACTGACATTTGTCGTTTTGGTATTCATCCCAGAATGTGATGGAGATTGAAACTTGTTATCATCCTTTAGGTTTATACACGTTTCCTTTCACGCAAGCAATCAAAACACAACATCCTCCTGGGACCCAGGCATAGATTTTTTTCCCTCTCCTCTGTAGGGGACATTATATTTGAGTGAATTTCTCATGTCTGGATGTCCTGTACAGAGCACATTCAGGGCTTTTTAGAGATATCAAATGTTTGGAGGTTTGTTCATAAACACTCCCTCTCCTTGGTCTTTAAAAATGACTGATAGTGATAGAATGGGCAAATTTAGCACTCTTAGGGAAATATGATAATCTTTTGTAGTTATCATTTAAATCTGACCAACTTCAAATTGTTTGTCGTAAATAAACATCTCAGAAAAATGTTATAGGGTTTCAAATCAGAATATGACTTTTTGTTACGAAACAGGGCATCATTTTGATACGTGTCTTCTGTAGAGGACACCAGGACAAACATCATGTTAATCAGGCATTTTGGGGAAACAAGAAGTCAATACAATAGTGAAAGAAATTATAGATCAATATTCCTATGAAATATGAGATATTCTTATGAAAATGTTGCAATGTTATTACTCCCATTATTACGCTTCTTTATTTTATTATGGTTTGCCCCAAGAACACATATTTATGCAAATTAGATGCAATGTATAGATACATTGTACAATATGGGAATACCAATTTATGAACATTTTATGCACATATTGAATAAAGTAAAATAGTATATCAAATCATTCTGTTATCATTTTCATAACATAGTTGAGAATCATCTTTGTACAAAATTTGGTTAAAAATAGCCTGAAACCTAAAAACTGATTGGTGAATGAAAAAATTAAACATTGTTTTTGCCTATACATGCCTTTTTTTATAACTTAGTACTGGTGTCTTCTACAAAGGACATAAAATAAAATATTAATAAAATATATTTTTCAAAAATGTTTTTTCTCCATTTGTTTCTCCAAATGTATCTTATTTGGTTCTTCGTTCACTTTAATAATTTGAATAATCATTTAATTTGATAGCAGAATGTAAGATTCATGTTTCAAATCACGCTTATGGCATTTTTACACAGTGGAGCTAAGGCTGCTCTGTGCCTGCTCAAAATTGTAAATGTAAATGTTTACTTTAATGTTTAGAGTAAATGCATGTATGCCACCTCTGAGCAGCATGCCACCTTTCCAGAGTAAGTTAAGCATTAGAGGTGCTGAATGGAAAAATATCACAGGCATATCCCAATAATACTGTAGGAAATACACTTACATTTCCTAACAACTGCATTAATTTAACCTTTTAAATCTATCCAAAGTGTTATTGAACATGTAATCAATGATGATATGAAACCATCATGAGGTTTTCTGTAGTTTACTGTAGATATATTGTAAATGATATGGTAAAATGGAGTCATTTACTATCTGCTACTGTATTGCATAGCCTGTGACTGATCAAGTCATATTAAGGACATAAGAATAGCTGAGGTCAAATTTGTGACTAATACTGAATAATTTTAATAGCTTGAGACACCAGCACAAAGTAAGACCGGTTTTAGCTGTTATTGTCAGCAGGGACACATGAAGCACACTTTTAGGTTACCTGACTCTTTTTTTTTTTTTTACAGTACTGAGTTTGTGAACATTGAGCTTTAAAGTATAAAATATCTGAATGTTGATACAATAGGTGCTATCAGACTGGACCTAGTGTTGCATGGTACCATGAACCCTCCCACTGTCCTGCTCGCAGTCTCTCCTCCCTCTGTGTCCTAGATTTTGTTGAAATGATGTCATTGTATTTGTCACGTGAATGACTTGACTCTTTTTTCCTGCTCTGTCAGTGTCAGTGAGCTGTTCGCATCTCTGTCTTGGTTTCTGCAAAACAGGAAGTCTGTTTGTGTGTGTTTAAACATACCCATGGCTGCACATCCCTAATTGCAGGGTCTGGACATCTGAGCACAACGATCGGTTTGAGCCTCCTACTCACTTGCCCAACTCAGCTATCTCTGGTATTTCAGGCAGTTTGTTGAGTCTTTCAGACTCTTGTTTCCTTTAGTTAATTGTTTAAATAAATATGACGGTATAACCCTTATCAGTAAATATAACCGCACTTTCATTTAATCACATATTGTTTATCCAATCACAAGTGTGCTTGCTTGCAACATAGCAAAAATCTCAAATCATTCAAGTTTGGCATTCCATGGGAAGTGCCTTATTGGCTGGAATACTGTAGGGAATTTTCACAGCTGCTGCTATGAGAATAGAATGGGAAAGATGGGTCTGTGTGCAGTTGCCAGTGGTGAGCGAACTTTAAACATAAACCACACAACCTATTTGGTATTCTGCCATTGACTGGGTGTACTTAATGTCAGTCTGTAACCCATATTAAATGAGTAATGGACTTTACTTTTACATCAGCTAAATGCTTGCAGTGAATATAAGAAGCCTCTATTTTTTATATCGTTTTTTATGATAACAGCTGTTGCTTCTTTTTGTAAATCAACTATTGTAATCTGGATCTGAACATTTGTTTTCCTTTAGTCTTTTCAAGATGGTTATTATAAATAATGCAGCAACTTTAGCATCCTAGCTTACTGTATGTTCACTGATACAGTATTCTATATTTACACATAAAAAAAATCATACACTGATATAAATAACAATAATCTGTCTAATGCATTTATTTAAACTCTATTGTTCAGATATCAAAATATCTCCAGATAACATCTGGAAGTAGTTAAGGCTCTGAATAGAAATAAAAAAAGATAATCATAGTATGTCCTTCAGTATTTGCACATCACTTTGCATATCATTATTTTCTTATATCTTGTTCTCTTCCTGCTATGTCCCTGCAGGATAGCTGTAGTCCATTTTAGGCCTGCACCATTGACAATATTGATTTTTGGTCCTGGCCTTAATGGGTTGTGCACTGCAGTGTGCAGAATCAGAGATTATGCTGAAAAAGCAACAGCGATCTATACAGAGCAGCTGATTGATCTGGCATTAGGACTTGTCTACAAAAGTGCAAAATGAAAGGACTAAACATGGAAGGACGTTACAAATATGTATCAAATACAGGCATAACCATTATTAATGAACAATTTAAAAGAATACCAACAGAAGCAGTTATATACATAGAAATTGTTCATATAATTTAACTACAGTGAATTCCTATAAGGTATATGAAAGCATTATTATTCTAAACATGTCCGAGGAGCTATGAGACCTGTCTTCACTGCTGAACTGTTGTTAGCAACCAGCCTATAAACAGTAAAATGAACACTCATGCATAAAAACAAGGAAAGGGAAGAGAAAGTGAGAAGATGGGGGAAAGGACATTTAAGAATGGACTGGTTTTAACCATAGGCTAAAGTAAGAATTTTGCATTAATCAGTTGCAATATAATATTTTAAATGCAAGCCTATATATATATATATATATATATATATCCTTATAATATTGCATTTTATTGTATTTATACTAACAGAACTCTCAGTTTCAGTGCCTGTGATGAAGACAATAACCGAAATATCCACTTGCATTTAAAGGGGTCATATGATGCGATTTCAATTTTTCCTTTCTCTTTGGAGTGTTACAAGCTCTTGGTGCATAAAGAAGATCTGTAATGTAGCAAAGACTGAAGTCTCAAATCCAAAGAGATATTCTTTATAAAAGTTAAGAGTCAGCCACGCCTACTTAAAACGGCTCATTCTAACACGCCCCCACATATCTACGGCACTATGTGGGAAGATTTGCATAACGCATCTCAAATGTTCACGCAAAGAAAGAAGGCGTAACTTTTATTCTCGCTGTAGTATTGTTGCTGCCGCCATGTCGTGAAGGCGCTGTGTGTTTCGTTGTGAAAGCAAAACTACTTTGTTTGGCCTTCCAAAAGAGGACGATATCGCTTCGTCATGCCTGGAGCTGATCCGTGCTGGTCGCTGAGGAAATACTACAACTTCGCGCTGTGGATCACCGGATCGGCTTTCACCGTGGACGAAGCGGAGTCCAGCCCGGGGTCGTGGTTGCCGCCGGCATCTCAATATGGTAAGGGACGTAACATTTCCGTCACACGCTTGAGGTATTCGGCCAATCACAACGCACTGGATAGCTGGCCAATCAGAGCACACCTCGCTTTTTCAGACCGATGAGCTTTGTAAAAATCGACACGTTTCAGAAAGGCGGGGCATAGAGGAGAAACAATAATGTACAGTATGTGGAAAATAATGTGTTTTTTTTTACCTTAAACCACATAAACACATTTCATTACACCAAATACACAAAATAATGTTATTTTTAGCAGCATCATATGACCCCTTTAAGATGCAATACATCTTTTAAAAATGTATTTATTCCTAAGATAGATAGATAGATAGATAGATGCTTTGTTGATGATGACAAAATCAGAATGTGGTGTTGGGGTAACTAAATAGGGCCAGATGGAAAAGCTGGTGTTAAAAAGGTTGGGCCTTCCCCTCATTCCCTGCTGGGGCAGCTGCATCCTCCCCCTGAGTGCTGCTATTCAGATTTGGGGTCATGTGATCTATACATAATGGCCGTTAATGTAGGCTTGTGTATTATCTCCAGGATACTAGTCGGTATCTAAGCAACTCCGTTATTCATCTCCTAGCAACGGCTGGAGCCTGGGAGGAGTGTGTGGGGGTTTGGGTGTCCTGGCCTATATTTCCTCAACCTTCTATGCAGGGTCATTTCACCTCATACGTTTATATCTCAACATTTTTTACATTTCAGTAATCATTTAATTCAGTTCAGTTTAATGCAAATGCATTTTTCTGAAAAGGAATAGTGAGGAGATGCTGTTTAACGGCTGCTGATTGTCATGAGCTATTATTTCGAGTTATAGAATGTGTTGCAAAACATTTGTAACCGTGTTGTTTTTGCCTGTAAATCCTTTATATTTTTACACAGTCTTATCTTATTCTGTCACCTCAGCAGATCATGAATAATAGTAATTTCATCCTTGTAGCTCATTTGAAATTGGTTTAAGTACAACTTGGTTAAACTATATACAACAGTCCCTCTCTTAATTCTTTTTCGGAGCACAAAGATAACAGTTTAAAGAACGGGAAAAGAATATGTGACAACTAACTCCAAAATTTACCTCAGGCAAAACTCTTAAAAGGGGCAGACGTTATCAAAGAGAACAGATGGTGAATAGGTAGATCAAGCTACACAAAGATGCTGGTACATACCCTAAAGGTTCAGATGTTATACAATAAAAAACGTAAAAATAAAAAAAACCTGATGCATGGTTATATTAATACAACCAATTTTGGGTCATTAAAAGGATGTAATAGGATGTTGAGGGAGAACAACCAAACTTATATCAAATTAGATTTTCACACTTTCTCCTTTCTATCAGCTGACTAAAGCAGCATTCTAAAGATTTGATAGTTGATTTTGAACAAAATCTTTGATTCCTGAACAATTAAGTATTGGAATAAAACGTTTTTCCAGTATGATTCAGTGTTTCAGATCTATTGGGTGAGGTTCTGGGAGGTGTCTAACTAACCCTAATCTTCCTGACAACCAATAGAAATTAGTCTAGCCCTTCGAACTGGGCAGATTTAATCGCGTCTGGCCAATCAAAGGTAAGAAACGTGGTCGCCTGGGCAACACTCATATATAAAGTGAGGTCAGTCTGTTATAACGTTATTCTTCTTACATCGACCCCTTAGTTGTCGAGCTGTAAGATCTCTCCGTTTAGAATCTTTTCTCGCCCGGCCCAGGAACACTTACAGGAACAATGGTGAGCACAGCTTCATATACTTAATATTGATTACTTATTGAAATAACCATTTTTATTGGACTTATTGACTAGCATTTAACGTAAATAATACCTTTAAAGAAACGATTTAGTATACGTATTTAAAAAAAAAAAACGCTTTGGTTTTGTAAATGATGTGTTTTAAATCCTTTTTTTTTTTTTTTTAATTGTGTATTTAAATGTAGGCTATTTATTTTATACAAATAATGTAGTCACGGATGTGTTTATAACCTAAGAAAGAATATGGAAAAATAAGAGCTTTTGGGAATATGAAGCACGCTAGAACGAAGCGCATAAATAATTTGGGTGTAGCAGGCTCCACTGTCCGGTACGGTGTCATATTGAATCAATGGACCAAAAAAAACATATGAGCGATGCAGCGCCTCCCAAAGGATATGGTCATTTATTTTTTAAATACTTTTTTAAATCAAACGTCCTATCAAGAATATTTTAAAGAACGGTTTATTCGACGGATGATATTCGCGATTAAATGTATTTATTTGCAGAAATCGTATCGCATTTCAGGGCTGTGGGTGAAGCTGTTAAATATTCATGGTGATGTAGGTGCATCACTAACGGGCGGACTGGCCATCTGGACGTTCTGGAGAAGTCCAGTCGGCCTGCTGGTTCATCATCAAAGAAAAAGTGTCAGATCAAGTGACGTTGACGGCCGACAAAAGGGGGCGCAATCTATTTTTGCTTATAAGAAACCGAAACTGACGCGAAGGACGAAGGAGAGTGGGCTCGTGATTGCAAGAGAAAAACGGAGAAGGGTATAACTGCAGCCTGGAGATCTCCAAATGGGGACGGGAACTCCAAAACGGGGTGGGAGCTCCAAAATAGGGCGTGCCTTCCTCTCATTGACAGACAGGCACATGACACCCATGCGCAATTTTTTCCCCCAATCCACTTCAGTGCAAACTCCACCCCACAGCTGATTCTAAAGATTTTATTGGTTGTGTCAATTAAAGTGTTGATTTCCTACACTATAAAGTTTTATTTTGAAATGTAAGTCAATAACAATTGGCTGGAGCCAGAGCCAATGGTGAAAGTCTTTGCGCGAAGAGACCCCGCCCCATTTTGGAGGTTCTGCCCACTTTTGGAGTTCACGCCCAATTTTGGAGATCTCCGGTCTGCAGTTATACCTACTTGGAGAAACGTGAAGATAAAGGCGGTTGGGAGAAGCTAAAAGAAAAAAAGCGAACAGTTACATTAGGTTACCTTTGCTCGCCTCTCTCACTGTACACAGCATGTAGCCTGTAGCACTATAGTAAAACCCCAGGTCCAAGCGTCCACTGCTATTTATCACTCTGCATTGTCTGCC